ACTCAATATCGTTTCTATGTATTTCTTTATTTTGTCATTAGTCTCATTGATGTTGTCATTAGTGTAATATACATACATTTCTATTTCTTCACATTTTCTCTGTATAGCGTACATCAACTTTGAGAATATAAAGCAACTGACAATAGTACGAAATAACGACAATGCATAACAGGAAGTAGCAACAAATTCCAGCCAATTAATTGTTATTTCATTGAAATGATATTGAATAGAAAGAAAGAAAATACTGATTGCCACAATCATAAACAACCCAATAGCAAACCATGTGTTGTAATGGCATAATCTCTCACTTTGAAGTAATGTACTGGTACTGGTGTCTTGTTGGGAGAAAAAGTTTTTATTTTCTTGTTGATCCGCCTGAGGCCCTGGTTCTGCATGAGGTCCTGGTTCCACCTGAGACCCTGGTTCCGCCTGAGGCCCTGGTTCTGCTTGAGGCCCTGGCTCCACCTGAGGTCCTGGTTCTGCTTGAGGCCCTGGTTCTGCTTGAGGCCCTAGTTCCACCTGAGGTCCTGGTTCCGCCTGAGGCCCTGGTTCTGCATGAGGTCCTGGTTCCACCTGAGACCCTGGTTCCGCCTGAGGCCCTGGTTCTGCTTGAGGCCCTGGCTCCACCTGAGGTCCTGGTTCTGCTTGAGGCCCTGGTTCTGCTTGAGGCCCTGGTTCCACCTGAGGTCCTGGTTCCGCCTGAGGCCCTGGTTCTGCTTGAGGTCCTGGTTCCACCTGAGGCCCTAGTTCCGTTTGAGGTCCTGGTTCCACCTGAGGTCCTGGTTTTGCTTGAGGCCCTGGTTCCGCCTGAGGCCCTAGTTTTGTTTGAGGTCCTGGTTCCTCCTGAGGCCCTGGTTCTGCTTGAAGCCCTGGTTCCACTTGAGTCTTTGGTTCCACCTGATGTCCTGGTTCTGCCTGAGATTCTGGTTCCGCCTGAGATTCTGGTTCCGCCTGAGATTCTGGTTCCACCTGAGACCCTGGTTCCACCTGAGGGTCTTCTAATATTATAACTTGTTCAAGTTTATGCTGATACACAACAGCAATTGAAGTAGGTTCAATAAATTCATTTTCATGATCATCATTAAAAGGATCTAATGGTATCACTTTCTTATCATCAGTTCGTTTATCTCTTGTGCAACAGCAATACAGTTTGAATTTTTTCCACCAGCTCAACTTTGTCTCACGTGACCACTTGTAATGTCTAAGAAATAGACGGACCAGTGCCCATATGAAGAACAGTTGTGATACTCCATTAGCTAATGTTGAGAACAGTATTGCTATCTTAGTAAGATCAATGAACTTTTGCACATGATGTGTGTTATTAGCATGTATCAACTCATCTAATGAAAAAAGCAATGAAACATAAAAGTGAAACAATCTATTGCAACAAAGAGTATGGCTTCACAATTTATCTTTTTAATTACCTTCAGTTTCTCTCAATATGATATCGACTCCAGTAGTATCTTCATTTGTGGCAATAGTAAAACAAATTGACCTTGATTCTTCACTGTATCTGTATGGACATGTAGCCCACCCAGCAATGAATGCACCAGTAGGATATACACTGATGGGAATAACCAGTAATACTGATAGTACTATTGTAATATACAGCATCACAATACAGCAATTTTTCCAAGATCTTTTATAAGTACAGCAGCAGGATGAGCAGCTTCTGGCATCATTTTCCCCATCATCCTCCAGATGTGCTGGTTTGATGTATTGGCAAGTGAAGAAACTAAGAATTGCCAAGAGTCTAGGTATCCAGCAAGTAGTACAGTAGTCTAAAACCAAATACAAATCAAGTACTATAAATCAAGTGCACTTACCATGGTTGCATTTTTTCCTAATGCAATAGAATATAAAGATAACTGTTTGATTTAAATAATGCTTACCAGCACATATTGAATAAAAGACTTAAGTAGCTAATGCCCAGGATGAGTCACAATTAGCTAAGCTAAATTGAGGATTACTAACTGTAAATTGTTTTATGATCACTGTTATATACTGTGTGCTCTCAAACTTGGCAGTGAGTTATTGTTATCATTGTTAAAATAACAAAGAAACTAAAAATTGTGCAACAGTTAATAAATAAGGAGCTAAGTGAGACAACTATGATAAACAGTCAAGTAAATCAAATCAAGTACAGTAGGAAAAGGGTGGACCAAAACTAATTGAAACATCACATGAAGATGAGTTAGATGACTCAAAATATAAATGCATGCACTATAGAAAATTAAAATTATAACAATCCCCATTCTATTTGTCTCTTCACAATGAACATCATGCACATCACCAAGGCAACAGATCACCATGGCAACATATGCATATTGTACGTAGGCTTGAGTGTGATTGCTTTTAGTTTAGCTATTCCAGTGAAATTACTGTCAGTTGCTGCTGCTGTGTAATAAAATAAATCATATTGTTATTTAGTATGAAGTGGAGTAGGAACAAAACTTACTTTGGGGGAGCTAAATTTATGACTCATGTCACAGTTGTTTAATAATTACTGCCAGTTTGAGTGACAGAAACATTTATCAACTTGCTGTTTTCAATCTACATTCTTAACTAAAAAACTTTATCTCAGCTCTTGACATGATTGTAACAGTTGCTTCATCCTTAAAAGTTTTATGAGTCTCATTAACCCATTCCCAATTACTGAGACTGACAATCATCATGACAATACGAAATTGAATTTGCTTCTGCAAGCAAAAATGCAGAAAAGTGGGAGTAGCTGCTTATTAATTAAAGAGGTGTGGCTTTACAGTTTATCCACGTGGTCTTGGCACACTTAAGCATGTTTGCCAGTAAATACAATCCAGTGACTGGTAAGAATGAATGGATAGTCACTAATAAAGATTATGACGATATGGAAACTGATCTATCACAAGAATTCTCAAGGTAATTTTAATCAATTTATTATAAATTAATTAATTTATTATTATTAATTAGGTCACATTATGGTGACATGGTTCACGACACAGAGAGAGTGAGGATAATTTTAAAGCGTAATTTTAATATTTCTGCTATTGCCCTTTAATTAGAATGGGAAATACTATTATGGTCTACGTTGGGCGATATGTCACTGGGAATCTAAAGGGGTGGAGCCACTGGTCCTTGATATTGGAACTGGTACTGGACTACTGGCAATGATGGCTGGAAGATGGGGGGCAACTAACATAGCAGCATGTGAAGTAAAGTTAATAATTAATATTTAATAATAATTAATATAAGTTAATTGTGTATTTATTATTAATAGGTTTATTATAATTAATTAGGTTTTGTCTCCGATGGTCAAAATTGCTAAAGAGGTTGTGAAAGTGAACGGATATGATAAAGTGATAAAAATAATTAATAAACGATCAACTGAACTAACAGTAGGACTTGGTAATAATAATAATAATATAAAAATAATAATAATGATAATGAATATATACATGTTCATATACCTTGTTTATTAGTCTGTAGTTTGTGTTTGTTAATATCCTTCTCATTAAACTCATTTTTATTTGCTAAAAGGAAAAAATAGGTGTGGTTGATGAGAGGTGATGATGACTGGTTAGTTAACTATTGTTTAATAACTACTTACTTGCACACGTGCAAAAACGTGGCTTTTGATAATGATTCACTTTAAATTACCTTTGAGAGTAAGTTGTGTTGATTTTTGTTTGACAGTTTGTTTTTTAATGTTATTATGAACAAGACTAATGACTACAGCAGCAAGATAAAACTAAAATAATATCAACAACTCGCTAAATCCAAAGTAGTATAGGGGCAAAGCAAATTAATAAGCAGTTTTTATACTAATGATATTGTTCTCAGCCAGTGACACTAGTTATTAAACTAACTACAATACCAACAAAACCAAAGGCAATAGACAAATAAGCAATGTTCAAGTTAAAAGTTATACTGGCACACATTATACGGAACCTGAAGCTAAACTTCCTCCTCTTCATAGAGCCAACGAACTCTGGTATTACACCTTCAGGGAGATTAGTAAACTTATCTTCATCACTAATCTGCTGCATAACACGCTGCCTTGTCCTGGTGACACCAGCAGCCCTGAGACATGGATAAACTAGTAAGAAACCTTGTACCAGACTATACATGAACAGGAATATTATCTGAAGTGAGTTAAAGTCTACTCCATGCTCTACATGTGGTACATTGTACTTAACATGAAGTGCCACTGCATCAATAAGTACAGTGAATATCATGAAGGTTGATATTATATGGAGTAGCCAATGGAGTAGGAACCATAACTGAAACCAGCTAAGTGTTGCTATTGCTGTTTTAACGAAATGTTTGTCACGTTCCCTAAGATACTTTAAAGCTAATGCTTTCTTGCCATCATCATCATCTTGAGTTACCTTGATGTATCCTTTGATCAATTCCTTCATAGCATAGACATAGCTAGCAGCTTGTGCTTTTATTCTTTCATTTTGTGTGATGTAATGCTGCTCTCTAATATCATTAGAATCTACACTGTTTATTCCAGCTATAACATATTCTTCAATTTTCTTCAAAGAAGTATTGCTGTAGCAAGTATTGTTAGTGTACTTTTTTTCTGGAAAATTAACACGAGTTTTAATGGCCTTTTTTATTTGCTTAGTTGATTCATTCACTTCATTCTGAACATCATTTTTATTGAACTCCTTCAAAAAGCCATCAGCCAGCTTTTTTGCTAATATATTAGATCTAGCACCAGATGATTTAGCAAATTTTAGCATTTCAGTAGCTGCTGTTTTAAGCTCAGACTCAAATATCGTTTCTATGTATTTCTTTATTTTGTCATTAGTCTCATTGATGTTGTCATTAGTGTAATATACATACATTTCTATTTCTTCACATTTTCTCTGTATAGCGTACATCAACTTTGAGAATATAAAGCAACTGACAATAGTACGAAATAACGACAATGCATAACAGGAAGTAGCAACAAATTCCAGCCAATTAATTGTTATTTCATTGAAATGATATTGAATAGAAAGAAAGAAAATACTGATTGCCACAATCATAAACAACCCAATAGCAAACCATGTGTTGTAATGGCATAATCTCTCACTTTGAAGTAATGTACTGGTACTGGTGTCTTGTTGGGAGAAAAAGTTTTTATTTTCTTGTTGATCCGCCTGAGGCCCTGGTTCCACCTGAGGTCCTGGTTCTGCATGAGGTCCTGGTTCCACCTGAGACCCTGGTTCCACCCGAGGCCCTGGTTCTGCTTGAGGCCCTGGCTCCACCTGAGGTCCTGGTTCTGCTTGAGGCCCTGGTTCTGCTTGAGGCCGTGGTTCCACCTGAGGTCCTGGTTCCGCCTGAGGCCCTGGTTCTGCTTGAGGCCCTGGCTCCACCTGAGGTCCTGGTTCCACCTAAGGCCCTAGTTCCGTTTGAGGTCCTGGTTCCACCTGAGGCCCTAGTTCCGTTTGAGGTCCTGGTTCCACCTGAGGACCTGGTTTTGGTTGAGGCCCTGGTTCCGCCTGAGGCCCTAGTTTCGTTTGAGGTCCTGGTTCCTCCTGAGGCCCTGGTTCTGCTTGAAGCCCTGGTTCCACTTGAGTCTTTGGTTCCACCTGATGTCCTGGTTCTGCCTGAGATTCTGGTTCTGCCTGAGATTCTGGTTCCGCCTGAGATTCTGGTTCCACCTGAGGCCCTGGTTCCACCTGAGGGTCTTCTAATATTATAACTTGTTCAAGTTTATGCTGATACACAACAGCAATTGAAGTAGGTTCAATAAATTCATTTTCATGATCATCATTAAAAGGATCTAATGGTATCACTTTCTTATCATCAGTTCGTTTATCTCTTGTGCAACAGCAATACAGTTTGAATTTTTTCCACCAGCTCAACTTTGTCTCACGTGACGACTTGTAATGTCTAAGAAATAGACGGACCAGTGCCCATATGAAGAACAGTTGTGATACTCCATTAGCTAATGTTGAGAACAGTATTGCTATCTTAGTAAGATCAATGAACTTTTGCACATGATGTGTGTTATTAGCATGTATTAACTCATCTAATAAAAAAAGCAATGAAACATAAAAGTGACACAATCTATTGCAACAAAGAGCATGGCTTTACAATTTCACATTATTTTTCAGCACATGCAGTTTTCAACTTGAGATAAATATAATAATGTGTTGCATATTCATGCAAGCATAAATAGGAGGCAGCTCTGACTTATAGGAGTAGGTGTAGTTTAGTCTTCCCATTCTTTGCATGTTTTAACTTATAAAAACACTTTATTTTGTATTTTTCCCAAATCAAGTAAGTAAACTATTTACTCGCAGCTAATCAATTAGTAATAATAAACAAGATTTACTGTTATCTTTTTAATTACCTTCAGTTTCTCTCAATATGATATCAACTCCAGTAGTATCTTCATTTGTGGCAATAGTAAAACAAATTGACCTTGATTCTTCACTGTATCTGTATGGACATGTAGCCCACCCAGCAATGAATGCACCAATAGGATATGCACTGATGGGAATAACCACTAATACTGATAGTACTATTGTAATATACAGCATCACAATACGACAATTTTTCCAAGATCTTTTATAAGTACAGCAGCAGGATGAGCAGCTTCTGGCATCATTTTCCCCATCATCCTCCAGATGTGCTGGTTTGATGTATTGGCAAGTGAAGAAACTAAGAATTGCCAAGAGTCTAGGTATCCAGCAAGTAGTACAGTAGTCTAAAACCAAATACAAATCAAGTACTATAAATCAAGTGCACTTACCATGGTTGCATTTTTTCCTAATGCAATAGAATATAAAGATAACTGTTTGATTTAAATAATGCTTACCAGCACATATTGAATAAAAGACTTAAGTAGCTAATGCCCAGGATGAGTCACAATTAGCTAAGCTAAATTGAGGATTACTAACTGTAAATTGTTTTATGATCACTGTTATATACTGTGTGCTCTCAAACTTGGCAGTGAGTTATTGTTATCATTGTTAAAATAACGAAGAAACTAAAAATTGTGCAACAGTTAATAGAGGATATGCGTGCTAAGTATATTCATTGCAAAATAAAAATATTCATTGCATACCGTAATAACTTTCAAGAAAAAAAATTAGTTCGTTGGACGTCAACTTTCCATTAGTGATGGGCGATATGGCCAATTTTCTTAATTTTCGATAACGATCGATAATGGACTTTTTCAGGAAATATCGATTATTAACGATACGATAACCACACCTTCATTTTGGGGTGTGTCAAGGGTGTGGCTAATGATTTTAGCACAGATATAACTCTACTGGACATCAGAGAAGATCATTTCCTAATCATTTCCATGCTCCTGAGCTTGGTTCTCTTCCTATTGAAGTAAGCTG